TCCCATGCCCCTCCCCAGTCCCTCTCCCCACCATTGTCCATGTCCTTGGGTTGTGCATATATGCATTTAAATTCTTTGATTATTCTCTCCCCCTCCACCCACCCCCAAAAAAGTTTTTTTAATTAAGAAAAAAATGTTTGCTTAATGTAAGGATTTCTCTTAGGTAAGCTTTCTTATTTCCCAGAAGTGTTAAAGAAAGCTTTCTAATCCAAACTCATAATGCTGTTTTAGTAATGCAATATCCCTATTAGTCCTTTATAATGGCCAAGTAGTGTCTAGATTCATTTACTTAATCTTGAAGACTTAGAAATTGTTCTCTTATATGTTCTAGCTCGTCAAGCAGTAAAAACACCCCCTCGGAGGTTGCCTACTGTGATGGTTCGATCTCCTATAGATTCTGCCTCCCCTGGAAGCGATTATCCACTTGGGGACTTGACTGCAACCACTATGGAAGAGGCCACCTCTGGGGTGAGTATATGTCTATTTGCAGGAATGAATCAGGAAAGGGGCAATAAGCCAGCAGAGAGCTGAGTGATGGGGAAACCACTTTTGGCCTGGAGGCAACTTCCTCTCTTGGTCTGAATACTGAAGACTTAGTTTACCTTGTTCTGTGCTCTAAGATAAGGATGGACCTAAAAATGGAGGCTTTTGACCTTTTGAGAGATAGGTAAAAGACTATGTCAAGGAATTGTTTGTAAGTGTATTAGTCCTATGAAATTCCTGCTGAAATAAGAGACAATTATTTTGTAAATATAATATTGGTAGTGGGTAAGGAGTTTGTAAAAGGTAGGTTGGGTGGAATGGGGTTGGGTCATTGTGGGTTTGAGTAGATGTAAGAGAAAAATTTGTTGGGAAGAAAGTTGTGGCTGAGAGCAGGAAGGTGGAGGGTTTCTGGGCAGTTCCACTCAGGACTAATAAAGTAATAGTTAGACACACTAACCCACCCAGATTAATAGGGAACCTTTCAGAGTTTGAGAAGTCAGATAAAGGTTCTCTGTTGTCTCTTAGGTAACCCCTGGGACTTTGCCGAGTACCCCAGTCACCTCGTTTCCTGGGATTCCTGACACCCTTCCTCCAGGCTCTGCACCCTTAGAAGCCCCCATGACCCCAGTAACAGATGATTCACCCCAGAAAAAGATGCTTGGACAGAAAGCAACTCCACCCCCCTCCCCTCTGCTGTCAGAGCTCTTGAAGAAGGGCAGCCTCCTGCCTACTAGCCCCAGACTGGTATGGAGACTTCTGTGGGTGTTTGAGAGCTGTGGTGATTTAGTACTTTGGAAGGGAGTGCCTGGGACCTAAAATACGGAAAAAAAAGGTTCAAAAGAGGAAGAGATTTCCTAGTTAAATGTTAATTAAGAAAAAAAAATACCCAACACAGTAAGTTGATAGTTTTCTTGGGTCCTGAGGTATTTGAAACCATAATTATTTTGGTTCTCTTCTCCAGAGAACTCTTGTTAAATAAGTTTTGAAAATTACAGAGTTTCCCTTGGGTCTGAAATTCTCTTTGGATGTTAACTTTTAGTTTTGTAAAGTTTGGTCAACTGCTGGAGTTTTTTTGGGAAGTGGTAATAAAGGTAAGCTTGAGTGTAGCCTTCACCTTTATTCTTCCCTGGTAGGTCAATGAGAGTGAAATGGCTGTGGCTTCTGGCCACCTGAACAGTACAGGTGTCCTCCTGGAGGTAGGCGGGGTCCTTCCCATGATACATGGTGGGGAGATGCAGCAAACACCCAACACTGTTGCAGCCTCCCCTGCTGCCTCAGGTAAGTCACCACTTTTCCATTATCTACTTTGCTTTAGAGATGTTGAACTTGTCATTGATGGTCCTTGATTTCCAGCCTTTGTTACTAAGCAATTGTTAACCCTAGATTTAAAGCTCAGCCTTAGAGCTATTTACCTATTAAACCCTGTAGTGCCCCAGACTTTAAATCTATTTCATCTTCAAAATATTGGTTACCCTGGTGACCACAGCATAGATATTAATGAGAGGAATAGAGAAGTTGATAGTGAAGATGTTTCTCTGGAGCTTGCAAATCGGATACCTGAGTTTATAGAATAGGGGGTTGAGATTTACATCCAGGGAACTGGACTTGAGTTTCAGGCCTACCACACCTCCTTTGGTTTTGTGTTTTGTGACCTTGGTAGGTAACTTCTTTTTTTGGTCTGTTGATTTCAGAGAGGGGAGGGGAGGGGAGAGAGAGAGAGAAACGTCAGTGATGAGGCATTGATTGGCTACCTCCTGCACACCCCCTACTGAGGATCAAGCCTGCAACCCAGGCGTGTGCCTTGACCAGGAATCTAACCTTGATCTCCTGGATTATAGGTCAATGCTCAACCACTGAGCCATGCTGGCTGAGCGCAGCCACATTTTTTAATTAAAATTTTTAGGTTGGAAAACTTTCACTGAAATAAAATTCATGCAACATAAAATTAACCACCTTAAAGGGTACAATTAAGTGGCATTTAGTACATTTAAGATTGTTGTAAACCATCACCTCCATCTAATGCTCAACCACTGAGCCATGCTGTCTGGGCGGTAACTTAACTCTCGAGCCTCAGTTTCCTCTTTTATTAATTGCAATGTATATATAAAAATGTAGTGAGAATTTAATGAAGTAGAAAATGTAAGGGAGAAAAAAGCCCTTTACAAAGTATCAAACAGACATTAGATACAGGCATTTGGTGTTGAATTTTGGTGGTTTATTCCACACTTAAGTTCAGCAAAAGTGACATTTATTCGTACCGGTTGTTTATTGTTACGTTTAATTTTTTTCTGAGGAAAAATTACCACCCATTTTCATATACATTGTGTGTTCTAGTGCTTTGGGTCATTCTTAACTTGGCAGAAGATCTTAAGTTTGGAGAAAGTAAGGGTATAAGTGATGAGCTTATTCAGCTGGAGTTGCTTTCATCCTTTGAGACTAAAAGTTTTCTTGGTTGCGTCTTAAAGTGGCTATTGCTCCCTGTTCACGTGCTTCCTTCTTACCTCATTTTGTATACCTCTTTGTCTGTTAGGTGCTCCCACTCTTTCCCGGCTTTTAGAAGCTGGTCCTACACAGTTCACCACACCTCTTGCTTCCTTCACTACTGTTGCCAGTGAGCCTCCAGTTAAACTTGTGCCACCCCCTGTAGAGTCTGTGTCCCAGGCTACCATTGTCATGATGCCTGCGCTACCAGCACCATCCTCTGCTCCGGCTGTCTCCACTCCTGAGAGTGTAGCTCCAGGTGCGTCCCTGACCCACGCCCTGAGCAGCCGCTAGATAAAAAATTTCATCTTGAGCTTCAGTTAGAGAAAGGTTATCAGGAACATCAGCTCCAATTCAGATGCTTTTGTTCTGTTCTCCATGGACATTTGCCATCTTTATCCTTAGAAAAACAAGAATGTGAGAAGAGGTGGGTGGGCATTTATCTGTTGGGGGGAAAGGCCAAGTGTACACATAGGAGCGGGCTTGAGAATATGTTCTCACCTTACTTTCTAGATAAAACTGGGGAGAAGAAAACATAGGCAGATATAAGATAACTTTTTCTGAGCTTTAGTGTATGGGTTCTTGACCTCTGTCTACATCCTTGGTGTGATCTCCAGGTGGTCACTTGGTTCTAAACAAGTTTCTGAGATGCTTTTCTCTTCCTGTTATTCAGTGAGTCAGCCTGACACCTGTGTTCCCATGGAGGCTGTGGGGGATCCACATACTGTGACTGTTTCCATGGATAGCAGTGAAATCTCCATGATCATCAATTCTATCAAAGAAGAGTGTTTCCGATCAGGGGTAGCAGAGGCTTCTGGAGGTTCAAAGGCTCCCAGCATAGATGGGAAAGAAGATTTAGATCTGGCTGAGAAGATGGATATTGCTGTGTCTTACACAGGTGAAGAGCTGGACTTTGAGACTGTTGGAGACATCATTGCCATCATTGAGGACAAGGTAGCTATTTAGCAAATCCCAAAAGAATCTCTCATGGGTCTTACATGCTTTTTCTCCTCAGCCTCTCCTTGCTTCTTGTAACAATTACATAAACAGCTTTCCTGTTTCTACCCACCTCTGTAGTCCCAGAGCCCTTTGGTGCTGACGTACTGGTCATCTCCCCAGCCATCCCGATGTTACTGGTTTGCACAGGACAGGTGCCTGTCCATTGGTAGCTTCTACTATGTGGAGAAGATGGAGAGAGAAGCTGCAGATTTATGCCATCTCATTTGGTGCTAAGAAATTGAGGTAATTAGGCTTCTTTCTGCAACCTCAACAGTTTATGTTTTGTGGGACAGGTAGATGATCATCCTGAAGTGCTGGATGTGGCAGCAGTGGAAGCAGCATTGTCGTTCTGTGAAGAGAATGATGATCCTCAGTCTCTGCCTGGCCCATGGGAGCACCCTATGCAGCAGGAACGGGACAAGCCAGTACCTCTCTCTGCACCAGAGTTGACAGTCAAGCAAGAGAGGTTGGACTTTGAGGAATCCGAAAACAAAGGAATCCATGAACTGGTAGACATCAGGGAATCCAGTGTTGAGATCAAAATGGAACCTGCAGAACCAGAACAAGGCATTTCAGGGGCTGAAATAGTCACTGGAGTTGTTCCACCCACATGTATGGAGCCACCAGAACTCAGGAGTCAGGACTTAGATGAGGAACCCAGAAGTACTGCAACTGGAGAGATTGCTGAAGTAGATGTTGCCATTGGGAAAGGCGATGAGACTTCACTTACAACTGTAAAGGCAGAGGTATTTAAGATAAGGGCCTGGGAGAATGGAGGGTTATACCTTAGGTAAGAAGTGAAAGTTTAGGCCCTGGCTCAGTGTTGGCCCATGGACTGAAGGGTCACAGGTTCGATTCCTGGTCCAGGGCACATACCTGGGTTGCAGGTTTAGGCACGTGCAGGAGGCAGCCAGTCATTGTGTCTCTCTCACATCGATGTTTCTCTCTTTCTCTCCCCCTCCCTTCCTCCCTTCCTCTCTGAATATCAATGGAAAAAATATCCTTGGGTAAGGATTAACAAAACAAGTGAAAGTTTAGGCCTCTGGTTTTTTGCATTCCTGAGTTCTAACATGTTTGATGTGTCTAAAGCATAAAGGTGTGATCAGTTCTATACATATATATTTATTCTATTTTTGTTAAAGTATATATCAGAATCAAATTACATGGATAGGCCTTAGAATTGCTTCTATAACCTCATTATCATTGAAGAATAAAATTGTGTAGGCAGTAGTGATTTACCAATACTTAGGGTGTTTGTTCTTTTTGGTCTTCAGGCATCTCCCGAAAGCATGCTATCTCCATCACATGGCTCAAATCCCATTGAAGATTCTTTAGAGGCAGAGACTCAGCACAAATTTGAAATGTCAGGTAAATAATTTGGCCAGGAAATATGTATTCTGTAACTAACTTGAAATCATTTTCTTTGGCTTCTGAGGGATTGTGGGTTGTGGGCAAGTAGAAGAGGTAGAATAGGTCAGCATGGAAAGGAGAGCTGCAGGGAATTATTGTCCATAAGAAGGGGAAGGCTAAGGCGGAAAAATCTTCAGGTAGTCTTTCTCTCCTCTGCAGACTCATTGAAAGAAGAATCAGGGACTATTTTTGGAAGCCAGATAAAGGTATTTCAGACTTTTCTTTATTCCTCTTGGTGTGTGACTAGATTTCCCTATAGCACTACCTTTTTAATGAATTTCAGTAAACTTGTATTTTTATTCTCTGAGATGAGACTGATTAAGGAGTTGCATGGGGAAAAGCTTCAGTGGACAGTTAGGTATATGGGAGTACTATGGCAACATGTGCGTCCCATCTGAAAGTTAGTGAACATCACACAGACCTTTCTTTGCATATGATGCACAAAGAAGCTTTTGATATGTCCAAGGTGATTTTAAATGAGGGGATACTAGAGCCAGGGAGAACATAGAACATATATTAAATTACACTACCTAGAGAAAATTAACCAGAGTTTTCTTTTTAGAATTACTAAAGTAGTAGTAACAAACAGACTTAAAACGATGTGAGCTTGCTCCATCAGATGAGACACAAAATAAAAACTATTTTTGATAACTTTGTACCCAGGGTCAGAGTTCCTCTCAAGAGCAAGGGGAAAGAAGGAACGCCTCTTAGCTTAGTCTTAAGTAAGTAGCTTTTTTTTTCTTCCTTTTAAAAAGATCCTGGCTTTGCCCAGGTTCTAAATTACTTGATCAGTCAGTGTCTGTAGGTAGATGGTAGTCTAAGTGTTAGAGGGCTTAGTCAGGAAGCAGTGTGAGGTCATTTTCTAGAATTGATCTAACCCAAAGGCAGATCATGTTTAATGATGCTTTGCATGATAATTTTGCTTGCATTTGCTAATGAGCACACTGTGTCTAAGGATGCCCCAGGTGAGGATGAGGAGGAAGATGGAGTCAGTGAAGCAGCCAGCCTTGAGGAGCCTAAGGAAGAAGATCAAGGAGAAGGCTATTTGTCAGAAATGGATAATGAACCCCCTGTGAGCGAGAGTGATGATGGCTTTAGTATACACAATGCTACGCTGCAGTCGCACACATTGGCAGACTCCATTCCCAGCAGTCCTGCTTCTTCACAGTTGTGAGTATCTAAGATTCTTCCTTTGAGGTCAAGGCAGTGAAGGTGAGAAGTAGGAGAGGATCTTTTCTTTAATCTTACTTTTTCATCTTCCCTTTCTTGGCCTGGAACAAATACAGGCATACCTCGGAGATACTGCGGTTTTGGTTCCAGACCACCACAATAAACTGAGTATCGCAGTAAAGCGAGTCATAATCTTTTTGCTGGTGGAGGGTTTTGCCTTCAGTTTCTAAAAAATGTAACATCTGTGAAGCTCAGTAAAGCAAAGCGCAATAAAACAAGGTATGCCTGTAATTGACAAGAAGTAATTAGGACTTTTAAATTTAATTTTATTTTTTTATGCCTAGTGGAACTTCTGTGTTTCTTTTATTTTAGCTCTGTCTGTAGTGAGGATCAGGAAGCTATTCAGGCACAGAAAATCTGGAAGAAAGCCATCATGCTTGTATGGAGAGCTGCAGCTAATCATAGGTGAGTGGGGGCTTTACCAGTAGTAGGAACATTTTCTCCTGCTCCTCCTCATGGTTGGTGGCTAGAAAAAAAATTGAGTAGGCTTATTTGGGACTGGAGGCATTGGCTCTTAAACCTTCCGCCACTTAGATCAAGTTCTCTCACTCGTGCTTCCAGAGGGTAAACCAGTAATTGCACCTTATTCTCTTTGGACAGGTATGCCAATGTCTTTCTGCAGCCTGTTACAGATGACATAGCACCTGGCTACCACAGCATTGTGCAGAGGTAAGCCTTAATCCATTCGGCATGCCAACTTCCCTGCATTGCAAGTTGTCCATTCTTAGTGGATTTTTGCTTTAGGCAGTAAGTTTAAAACAAATGTTTTTGATATGAGTAAAGGTGACCAACCGCTAAACTAATTACTTAAGCAGCTGGATCACCAATGATAGTCTAAAAGAATTAAACCGTTTTATTACCTTTCTCAATGCTTATTATACAGACTGACTGGTTTTTGGGTTCAGTGCATATTTCAGGGTGAGGGGTTGGCATTTAGGTCCTGGAATCTGGGATTGAAGGGATGTGTGAGAAGATATATATGGTGGTAATAGCCCTGGCTAATTTGGCTCGGTGGTTGGAGTGTCAGCCTGCAGACTGAAGGGCCAAGGGCATGTACCTTGGTTGCAGGCTCCTCCCCAGGACTGGTCGGGGTGCATGCAGGAGGCAACCAACTGATGTGCCTCTCTCACATTGATGTTCCTCCCTCCCTCTCCCCTCCTCCACTTTCTGAAAAGCAATGGAAAAAATATCCTTGGGTGAGGGCGTGTGTGTGTGTGTATGTAGTGGTAATACATTCAGGGCTCCATTTGAGTCCTTTTCTCTCTGCTGCCGTTCACCCCCGTTTGTTTTGTCTTGTTTTTTAGGCCAATGGATTTGTCAACTATTAAGAAAAACATTGAAAATGGACTGATCCGCAGCACAGCTGAATTTCAGCGTGACATTATGTTGATGTTCCAGAATGCTGTAATGTATAATAGCTCGGATCATGATGTCTATCACATGGCAGTAGAGATGCAGCGAGATGTCCTGGAGCAGATCCAGGTACTTTGAGGACCCTCAGTGTTTTATCAAGGATGAAATGAAAATACTCAAGGGAATGATTCACATTGAAGTCAGGAAGGGGTGCTGTTTTTTTACTTGGGAGAGCTATCAGGGACACAGGAACATAAAATTTTATTCTTGCCCTGGCTAGTGTTGCTCAGTGGTTAGAGCACCATTCGTGCACCAAAGGGTCTCGGGTTTGATTCCCAGTCAAGGGCACGTTACCTGGGTTGCAGGTTCAATTCCTGGCCCTTGGGGGTGAGTTCAGGAGGCAGCCAATCCATGTGTCTCTCTCACATTGATGTTTCTCTCTCTTTCTCTCCCCCTTGCTCCCTTCCTTCCACTCTGAAAATCAATGGAAAAAATACCCTCGGGTGAGAATTAACAAAAAAAATTTTTTTTATTCTTGCTGGATTCATGTTATTTTTTTCATGTTGGTTTGGTAAACGAAGTGTGAGAGAATAGTGGGAGGGAGGGAGAGAGAGAGAAACATCAATGGTGAGAGACACATCAATTGGTTGCTTCCCGAGTGCATGTCTCAACCTGGGCGGGAGATTGTGCCTGCAACCCAGGTACGTGCTCTTGGTCAGAATTGAACCCAGGATCCTTCAGTCCTTGGGCCGACTCTCTAACCAATGAGCAAACCGTCTAGGGCTTTCCTGAAGTTTTTAAATAAAATTCTTATAAAATGATGAGTGTATAGTTTTGATTATGTTAGGGGGGTGTGTGTGTGTGTGTGTGTGTGTGTATGTATGTATATATATATACATATATATATGTAGTAGACAATTCAACAAATAGCTCTTTCTCCCTTTTTTATTACAGATAATCTATTTCTAACCTATAATTGCATTACCAGGCTCTCTGAGATATTGAACTTTAAGGGATGTGGTCTCTCTCTGCAGAGTCTGCCAAATTACTTAAATTGCTTGATGATCTTTGGTTCATCTAGTTTTGTTCNCTTTAAGGGATGTGGTCTCTCTCTGCAGAGTCTGCCAAATTACTTAAATTTCTTGATGATCTTTGGTTCATCTAGTTTTGTTCTCTTTCTCGGAGTATAGAGATTTTGAACCTTTGTTATAGCAAAAAAATTAGAGCCATTTGACATTTTCAGATTCTTAAGAATGCACAACAAAAATTGAAACTGAGTGTTCTAGCCCAGCTGGTGTGACTCAGTGGTTGAGCATCAACCTACGATCCGGGAGACCGTGGTTTGATTCCCAGTCAGGGCACATGCCTGGGTTTCGGGCTTGATCCCCAGTAGGGGGCATGCAGGAGGCAGCCAGTCAATGACTCTCTCTCATCATT